TAAGTTTATTGCATCGTTTTGGTTATTTTTAGACGCTTTTAAGTTGAATATAAACATTATAAATAGCAACATTTGTGTTAAATTCAGCAAAAGTATTGCTTGAATCGTTAGTCGAGAATACTAAACTCACATAACCCCAAAGCTGAATCGCATCAATTAGCATTAGTCAAACATTTTATGAGACCTACATATATATATATAAATTTCTGTTCATTGTTGATAATTCCCGCGATTTGTTTTGCTTTCAATTTTGCGAATTCAACGCCAACTGATTGCTGTCCGAAATAGCGACAGCAACCGATATTTAGATACTCTGCCCAAAAATTCGGAATAACTCTATCGAAACTGAACTGATTTTTGTTTCTTTGTGTAAAGTTTCTAGTAATTTGTGTCAAAAGATTAACTTGCAGCCGCTTATGGAGTAATGATCTATAATGATCTGTAATAAGCATGGCCATAGCCTGAAAACCAGACTCGTTTTCATGTGAAACTGGCAAAAGTTGTGTGATACTTTCGACCACATCTTCAAAGTCTAATAATAAATGTGCGTAAATTGTTTTCTTTTCATTTTTCGATTTGCTGTGTTCGCTGTGGTTTTTGATAATTGCCAAAGTTTCGCCGAGATAACGTAAAGGAAACGAGTTATGTTTGCCAATAAGTAAATTAAACAAATTTATATCGTTGGTAAAAATAAAATTCGACGTCATCGCTATCGTTAACTGGGCAACGACAGAGAAGTAGAAATATAACAACAACAACAAAAATTGTTTGATTTCGTTAACGGTCCAACTACTCGAACAACACTCGAAGCAGGCAACAACTCAACAGCGATTCGAGTGTCTGCAGTTTGTTGCAGCTGCCCCTGCTGCCGCTGCGCCATCTCCTTCCCTCCCCCATTAAAACACGCCATATGGCCTTTCTCCAAAATTCAAATAAAACAGTCATGAGACCCACGACATGAGGCGCGGGCAACGGGCAACGGGCAACGATCAGCGGGCAACGGGCTATCGGGCAACTGGCAACTGGCAACTAGCAACTAGCAACCGGGTGCCCCCAACTCCACAGCGAGTTGCAAAGCTCTCGTCATGCGTGCCACTTGGCACCTATGTAGATAAGAGGTCTATACGAGGGTGGTTCTGTTTACCACAAACTGGAAGATCTTACCTGTCTGCGATACATATGTATCTATTTAGGCAGACTTAGCCGTTTTCTGTTAGCCAAAAATTGACTGTGTGAAATATACAAGAAGATTAAATATGTCAAATAATTTTGTACTTGAATCAGAATTTATAGTATTTAAGTATATCTTATAATTTGATATTTTATTGCTGCGATGCTTGTTAAGTTTTTTTTTAATTTTGACACATAAACTATTAGAAATAAAAAAGGGAAAATCTATCATTAAAACTTTACACTAATTGCATACATATATAAAAGTTGGTAGGTTCGTTAAAGTGATTATAATTCAGAGAGACAAGAGATAAAAGTAATAATTTTAATATGAAAATCGAGCCAGAAGCGCGTTTCGAGCCTTAAACTTAATCAACATGTTCTCGCCTATGTTTTTGGCTAAGGGAAGTAAAGTTGGAATTTTTGGTTACGTCTATTTAAAGTTCAAATGTTGTGGGAGGGGCTGTTCTCCCCACTGCCCACACCTGGCAACGGCAATTAAAGAGAGTTGCCGTAAAAAATGTGGTTAGACCTATATCTAATTCCCAGAACAACTTTTGAATTCCCTTTATGTGGTGTTTCCACGTGATTTATGAAACCACCCTCGCATGCTGGCAAAGCTGTGGTACAATGGTCTATTTTGTGCGCCGGCTACGTGCACCGCCGGCAACCGGTCACGTTTATAGTTGTTGCTGCCTCTGCTGCTGTTGTTGCTGCCTGCTGAGAGTAAGAGTCGAGAGTCAGAGTCAGCAGCATTGTAGGCAGAGGCAGTAGCAATGGTTGTCGCTGTGATGGCCTCGGCGGTGGCCCATGGAGACCAACTGACTGGCTGGCTATCTAACTGACTGGCTGGCTGGCTGGCTGGTGGACCGGTGGACTGGTTGTCTGGTTGACTGGCCAGCTGTGCAGCCGGCCCGCTGCTCATAACTGTAAAAACACGCTCGCCCACTTCCTTGGAGCGCAGTCAGATTATGGTTCAATGTGGCGTGTGTTTGATTTTTGGTTTCATTTATTGCTTCATTCCAAGCATTGTTGTCTCTGTGTGTGTGTGTGTCATTTGTGCGTGTGTGTGTGCGTGTGTGAGTTAATTTTTAATTGTGCTAAATGTGCACATAAATATCAACAATCGATTGCAATAACAATCGCACAGCAACAACAAAAGCAGCGACAATATTCGCCATTCACAATTTTCAATTTCAACACCCACCCATGATTTGGCTTATTTGTGTCATTGGCTTGTTGTTGCCATTGTTGTTCTTGTTGTTGATTGAGGGGCATGTATGGGAATATCTACTGCTGGCTTTTGTTGGCTGACATTGGCACCAGCAGCTGTCAATTTATGTGCTGGATGGCTATGACTAAATAGCTGATAAATAATGCTATTCGCAATCGTAAATGCTTGCCACATGTGCCTCGTGTTGGGTGGTAGCCGTAGAAATGCATTACGAATGTGTCAAATGTTCATTGGCCGATTATCGTTGAGACGAACGAAGAGATACAATTGTATCTCAAGGGATACACTTAGATTTTATTGCGGCCTTTGCACTCACACAAATGAATAAATAACATGCAATGCCCTAAATTTGTTTTGGGATCCTCGTATCCCACTTAAGGATACAGGCTGATGGCCTTTTGAGCAAATTGCTACAATTTGGAAGGCTACATTTATAGTTATGAATAGAACTGATGTGTTTTGTGTGTGTGTGTGTGTGTATGGTGAATATTCATCCTTACGAATAAATATCTAAACTCTTTGCATAATTTGTTTATTACTACTTTAGTGTAGATTGTATACAATTAATTATATTTGCAGCCCATCAGAGTTTGCATTATTATTCGAAGCATAAGGAAAAATTTAAGAAATTCGCATAAACAAATTTATTGCAAATATTTCTATTATTCGTAATAAACATTCTGGCATGGTAATAATTCTTTGGTGCGTGGTATTTGACCGACTGCTGTGTGGAGCATGTGGCAAGCACACACAAATTCAACAAATTCAACCAATTCGATTTATTCTTGGTCGTCGTGGTCGTCGTCGTCGTCGCAAGTTGTTTGTGTCTGACCGTTGCTGGGTTACCCCAGAAGTTGTTTGCCTTCAATATCTATGATTTCATCCTGTACCCGCTCCTCAAAAAGTTTGAGTTCACACCTCGTAGTCCGTGTGTTTATGATTCTGCAAGTGGCGTGAATTTTTTCCAGCACCCGCTGCGATTTTAGATTGCTCAAGTGTGTAGATGACTTGGTGTGTTCATAATGGTTGCACGTTCCCCCCACACCCTCCACCCAACAAATCTTTTAAAAAAAATTCTACAAGAAAGCGGTCGCTTCAAAAACAGTCGTAACAAATTTTCATTGCCTACTTTCGGACTTGGCGTTGAATATTAAATTATAGCCGCAAGCCGAAAAGTAGGCAACACTAAATTTTTAGTATGCAACGCAAACCGAAATTATTTATTCATACTTTACCATCGATTGTGCACTTGCACACATTGTTTGGTTGTATTTGATTTTGCTTTTTATAATCGCTAATATTCATGTGTGAAGTACTCGGATTTTATGATTGCGTTTTTACCCGCATAGTCATCATAAATAATTAAATGCGAATTGCAGCTGCTGCTGCTGTATTTGACGGCAATAAAATGCCGTTCGAATACGTTAATCGCAGATACAATCTAATGACTCGACTAAGCTTTTGTTTTTGGCGGAATCGGAAGCGTAACAAAATCAAATGCCACAAAAATGTGCAAACGAAACTCAATCGCTCATTAAGGCTAAACAATGAGAGGCGTCGAGCATCTCCCCATTGCCATCAAAAGCCATCGATAATTCCAGTCTAGACACGAGTGCAAAGCACCTGCACAGTGGTCGAAACCTCATGCGGAAATGGATTATAAATATTTGGTTTACTTTAGCTAAAGAAAAACAAACTATAATTATAAATATCTTCAGCTAAAGTTATTCGTTTTGAATGCGGAGAATTATGCAACAATTATTCAGTTAGGTTTATATGACTTCACTTTTAATTGTGTTAGCGTACACAGGGAAATGTTTATAAGCTATATAATAATAATAAATAACAATAAATAAATAAAATGTTCTTTTCTTTATTAATTTTCATCGGAAAATCCGCTTACAATTAATTACTTCCTACAAGTGTGAAGCACTGTGCAGAACAACTGTTGCCAGAGAATGGAAACAGCTTAGTTGGCACTTGAAACAAACAAACAATCAAACAAAGGCAACAAAAGTCAACTGAGCACAGCTGAGGTGTTTGTCAGTTGGTGTTAGCATGTTTTGTTGTTATTATTATAATGATTGCCGTTGCCGCTGTTGCTTTTGCTGTTGCATTGTGCTAAACGCTAATGTGTTAAATGAGCTGTTGATGCCCCACGCCAGAAAGCTAATTAGAGCGCTTTCTGGTGCATAAATTACGAAATACAAGCTTCAAAGCCGCGTTTAAGGCCCTAAGACGAGATTTGCTGGTGTGTGTGTGTGTGTGTGCGAAACGCCCCCGCAAACAGCTGCTGATCAACACACACGCATACAAAAAAGAAGAGACAAACAGAGTAGGAGAGAGAGAGAGAGAGTTATGCACATAATATGGTCATAGTACTAAACACGATAACGATGTTGAGCATACGCCAAATTGGTCAAAACAAAAACGAAAAAGAAGAAAAAGAAAAACCGAAGCAATCAAACGAATGAACGAACAAACAAACGAACGACATGAAAAAGCCGAAGCCTCTGCAATTCTAGTGATCCGCGTAATAACTTCAGTTAATGTCGTCGCTCATTTGACTCATGCGCTCGTGCGTTGAGCTCAGTCGCTTCGTGGCAGTTGGCAGCGCCAGACGCGCAAAACGTGAACGAGTTCGTGAAACGATTAACGATCAACGAGCAACGCTCAATCGATCAACGAGAGAGACTTTGATATTGACTTTGCTCTTGGCGCCCGCCGGACCCGGGGAAAACTTCAAGGTTAACGCGAGATGTCATTTTTTCGCAACATTCGCTCAACGCTGACGTCGTCGCGCAAGAGCTCCAGCCGCGATACGACCCCGGTGCGTTCCCGGCCAGCGAGTGTGATTAGTTCGCGACGCGATTCGACGACAAGCTCAACGCTGCAGCGTGGCGACACCTTCATACTCAATGGCTCCGATGAGGAGCAGCAGCACCGTGGCAACGAATCCAACAGCAGCACCCTAGAGAAAAAGTCCAAAAAGTCAAAGGTTTTTAGCAAATTCAGCACATTCACGAAGCGGAAGAAGACACCGTCGCCGGAGGAGTTGGCCAGCTATGAGCATCATCCCAGCGATACGGCAACAAATACCTATTACAAGTGGCGCAGCGATGGGGATCGCATGCTCGACTACGATGCCCACTCGGATCCATTCAATTTCCTGTACGAACAGCAGGGCAGCAACTACAAAAGCCGGCAGCCAAATGCGGATGCTTCTGCGGCTGGCATGCAGCGTCAGTCGAGTCTTGGTGGCTCCTCCAATTCCAATTCCAGTGGCAGCTTCGATTCCAGCACGTATCGCAAGAGTAAACCGGCCACACATCTGCGCGAGCAGCTGGAGCAGCTAAAGACGCACTCCAACGATGATCTGCTCGAGGAGGATGAGCGTGACAAATATAAAACGGTGACACTGAGCAGCTTTCGCAAATCCTTTCGAGATCGTCTGCTGCAGCAGCAACAGCAGCAGCCCCACAATCCCGCCTGGTTTGTGGAGGTGCCACCAGCAGCGCTAACGACGACGACGACAACGCGCAGCGAGTCCAAAGAGAATCGTCCCGATTTCCTTGTCTTTGACAATGACAACTATCGTCCACAGTCGCGTTCCCCGCTGCGGGATCGTCCCTCGCGCTCCGCCACTCGCTCGCCCGTCAAACGCAACGAGACTTTTCGTGTGGAGCAACCAATGCGTCGACATGTCTCCCCATCGCCTTCGCCAGCGCCAGCGCCTGCGCCGCCTGCAGCAGCCATTCGCATCGAGATCAAGAACTCAATATTGCCGCATTCGCCGGGTCGCTTGGTGCCGGTGGGCGTGGCCAAGCCCATGCCCACCACAGAGTATTATGCGCAGCGTCTCCTAGCGAGCAGCCTGGCGCGTCAGCCGCCGCCTGTCAGTGGCAAGAAATGGTATCGCAGCCAGAGTCAACATTCGCCCACGCGATTTGCAACGACTGCTCAACAGCAGCAGCAGCACCAGCAGCAGCAGCACCAGCAGCAGCAGCAGCACCAGCAGCAGCAGCAGCAGCAACAGCAGCGCAGTAACAGCGGTCGCTATCAGACTCTGGTGCACATTGGCAGCGAGCCGAACAAATCGGCGCCGGCTCCAACTCGAGGACGTGCACCCACCCGCGTTCAGCTGTACGGCAGCAAGCCGAGCAATCGACAGCACCAGCACCAGCAGCAGCAGCAGCAACAACAGGCCAGTTCCACCTATTTTGGGGGCCATTATAATGCACCTGTGCCCGCCAGCAAAACCATGTCCAGTTCACGTCTCGGCTCGGTGGGCGTACCGAGTCTCAATTGGGGGCGTCGCGACCAACAGCAGACGCCAAGAATTATTGCCGCCCCCGCAGCCGCCTCCGTGCAACGACGCAATCGGTCACCGATCAAAATACCTTGGCGATAGAATCGATCGATCGATCGAACAGTCAACTAATGATCAAATGATCAAACGAACAGCGCTCATTGATTCGTTGTCTCTCCACAAATAAGGCAGTCTAGAGCTGAGCGACTTGAGCACGAATCAACACGATCCATCTAACGTAAACTTAAAATAAAATAAAGTAAAATAAAATAATATATAAATATTAAATTATACAAATTTTAAATAGAAAATGCATAAATGTTTTTATTTTACTTCAACTTATATTTATTTAAATTAAATTACAAATTAATACTCAAAAAAAAAAACATTCAAATTTTCAAGAATTGAAATAGGAAATTGGCGGAATCTGATTTAAAAGGGTATTTTATAGCTCAAACCAAAACTTGTTAAGTACTTGGATAGAGTCATGTGTTTGTTTTTTATTGATACAAGCTCATCTTAAGTTATGACAATATCTTTGGAATATGGACTGAACAACTCTATAGATTCTACGTGCGTCATTCGGCGTTGCAGCGTTGCGAATATTTGTATTTATTTGCCTTTTGAATTGTGCTAACAACAATTGATACTCGATACTCGTGTGTAAAGTACGCAAGTCCCAAAACTTCTTTTTCCATTTGTCAACGTTTTTTTTTGTTGATATCATTTTTGAGTATGTAAATAAAGAAAGATTAAGTAAATGAATGAATTCTCAAATGCAAATGTAAACAAACGAAATTGCGGGGAATAACAAATTTGCCGTGTTGTGTAAATTGATAATTATCATTTATTGGCATTTGCCGCGGGGCCAAAGCCAAAACCAAAACCATTTTGGCTCAAAACGGCTTCAACGCCCATTTCCCTTGAACCGTTAGAGAGCTCTTGATGATGTAGTTGTGGCACAAGTGGAACGCATGTGCAAAATGGCATTCCCCGAAACAGTATTTAAACAAATCGAATTCGCTGACAAAACTCATATTGTACAATGTTTTATTGGGGCGCTAATTATGCGATTGGCTTTTTAAAATCATGAGTTATGCGGTACTTTTCTTAAAGTTGCGTTCTTTATTTTATTTTTTATTTTTATAATATATATATATTTTTTTTGGTCAATAATATCCGAACGGGTTTGAGTCGCGTCTGACTAACTGTGCATGACAATGGGCGAGAGCGTTACGTGACTAGCACCCAAATGGGTAACAAGCCATATTTTCCAGGGGTTTGTCATATAGAAAGCAGATGCGCTTATTACGGCCCTATTTGGTTGCGAGAATTTTACGCCTAACGGCATATATATTGTACCGCCAGAAGATGTATGCTCATCATATATATATATATAATATATATCCAGAGGGAATGACGTCAACAGTCGTCTTGATTTGATTTGTTCCTTATAAGCTGTGGAACGAAACAACTCACGGATATTATACATATGGATGAGGGCATAAATGATTTAAACCAAATATGCGAGAGAGTATATCAACATGAATCATATATAATTTATAACTTATACAAGTATATTGTTTGCACGATTTTCATTTAAAAAACAGTTGCTCAATTGATTTACTATAATTTATTCCTTATATGGATGGCATTAGGGGTGCTCCGCAAATCCGACTCTCTGTAAAAGTTTTCCTGTATTCTACGAGTTGAATAAATAATCAGCTAACTTGTTTAATAACATTATTGTTGCCAACTCAACTAACAAAGACTTCATCTGGAGTCTGAGTCAAAGTAAATTGCGCAAACCCCTTGTTAATGATGTATTCCTTTTAAAGATTTCTGTCAAATTGTTTGCTTTTTTCTGACACCCACATCATTTACTTAATTTATAAGCCATCTTTGATTGCTGCGGCAAGTTAATGAGCTCTAACAATATTTATTTTCGTTTAAATGTTTTCGGCAGATCACAAACAAGTTGCATTTTGACACTTTTGAAACTTTCTTGAATTGTTTCGTTTTCGTTTTTGAAAGATCATCTCAAGATGGAACCCCTAATATTTATTGCCTTTCTCTAACTCATAAATAGCAAACTTTTTCGTAGTGTATAATCAACGTTAAACTAGTTAACTAATTAGCAATATGAGCAGCTTTAAACTTGATCTCATTCTACATATCACACTTTCTAATGTGGTCACAACGGGGTCGTTAGTTGTTCGTTGTTTTGACTATGGCCAAAAACAATTTGCTCTGGCCAGAAAAATCACAACATCAGCTTCAGCTTGGCAACACGAGCAGCTAAGTTGCAATTTAGTCGCCGATCTACGCATGATCTTGAACTACATTAGTAGACGCGTTAGCTGGTGTTAACGCATTTGGCTTTTAGCCACTTAAGTCTCAGCCTTAGCCATTTTCATTGTGGCATCTTAACTAGACTGTGAAAAATAAATGTAATGTAAACTTTGGAGTCATAGGAGCCCTCTAAATGGTTGACTTGCCCAATTGCGTGGGTCTTTCCGCAAACGGGTTGGTTAACACACAAAATCAGAGTCGTCAACTCAAAAAAAAAAACAAAAACAAAAACAAATCGTGTTAATTAATGCGAATTTTCAACAATAAAAACAACAACAGCAGCAACAAAAAACCCAAGTACAAAATTCACCGAAATTGTTTACTGCTGTTAATTGTTAATTGTGTACTTAAAGACTGCTGTTCCCTTTTTCAACTTTTTACTTCTTTTTTTCTGTTTCTTTTGTTGCTTTTTAATTTTGCAATAAATAAACAGTTTTGCGGGTTCTGTGATTCGGTTGCTCTACTGCTTCTTACGATATACATATATATACATATAGATATATATAATATGTATATGGCTCATACGTAGATTGTTTTCCAAGTAGCTGGCAGCCGGTTTTTAATTTGTTGTTGTGGTTGTTGTCGTTTTGGTGTTGTCGTCGACCTACGGTCTCTTTTTGTATTTTTTATATTCAAACTGTAGACAAACAGTCAACACTCGCATCGCGTCATAGTTTGAAAATGTAGCTTAGAGCTGAATGAGCTGAGCTGAGTTGCTTGCTCAGTTTTTTTTTGTGGATGCAGATACATTCATATGCAGATACAGCGAACAGATACAGATACAGCTACAGCCATAGATACAGATACAAATTCACAAATTTTGTTTGCCCAGAACTGATTGGCAACAAATGCGCGGGCGTGACCCAAAGTTGTGAGTGGGTTGCAAACTAGTTCTTATTCGTATTGGCCGATATGTTTTTTAGTTCAGTTCTACAAGGCTTCTTACATAACTTCTGAATTGAAATTGGTAATTTCAACATATTTGCTACTCGCATTTTCCCAGCATTTACACGGATTTGGACACGTTGTTTTACACTAGAAATTGGACTTGTTTTTGTTGCTGTTCAGATTTAGAGCATGACATCATTTTGCATAGAAGTGCGAAAAAAAAGAATTATGTTCATAGGCTATTTATTTTATTGTTGGGCACAGATCGCATCTCACTTTTAATTTTAATGAATGACTGGACAAAATAGCTAATTGCAGATTCTTTTTTGTATATATTGATTACACTCTGGGGATATGCCTCAGGTCTAAGAGGCATTTACGACATCTTCATTAGAGGCATTCTCAACGTTTTCGGTTCACTTTATAATGAAGCTATCAGTTCCAATATATATATATATAAATAAATATATATTCTTTGCTGTGTTTAACATTAGATTCTGATATAATTTGAGCAGCAGCTGCAGAGAAAACTCATAAGGGATTATAATTATATTGCCATGAATATTCAATGCCATTAATGAGGGGTCTTCCCTATATGGATGCCCGCATTTGTAACTGTCAATCGTTTGTATTAATTTGCTTTAAATATTTGCGTCTTGTGGCAAATTGCAAACAAAGTGGAAAACTTTCGCCATTCTGAGCGACTTATTGTTGCCGCAGCTGTGATTGCCATCCAATTTATATATATATATTTATATATATATATATATATATATATATATGCATTATGGATTTGTGATGAGTTTCATGTGTTTAATTGTCACATCATTAATCTATGGGGATTTTGGGCTTTACTGGCTTCACTTGAGTGGCAGTCAAACATTTGCGCACTTGAGCACTCAACTTGCAACTTAATGCCAAACATCCGTCAGTTCGGCTGCCCGTCTGTCCGTCTGTCCGACATGTTTGAGCAAGCGATTGTCGTCGCCAGTGTTTCACCCATTCACTCATCCTGGCCATATGAACTGGGTCAGCATCGATTTTCGCGGCAACGTGTCACAATTATCGCTTTGCCAGCAAATGGATTCGTTGGATTCGTTTGGATTCGTTTGGATTCATTCGACTGCCTGTCCCAAAAGTGCACACAGCAAGGCTCAACTATCGAATGCACTCAAAGGACATGCGAACTTTGCTTTTGCAGCCACATCCTGCACATTAATTCTGGCTGCAAAAGCAAAAAGCAAAAATCAACTCTGACAACTCTGCAATATATATCTAAAAAGAACACACGAACATTTGATACACTTGCACAGCAGACCAAAATAAGTGTGCTATATAAAATCAAATTTTATGGGAGTATAATTACTGACGAGTCTGGCTAAGAAACATCCTTCTCGTAAAACATCCTTCTTAATAATATTCTGTCAAAATGTTGTAGAATATTCATATTTGATTGGCTCAATAATATATGCTTCCGAGCATTGCACATCTCATAAGATCTAAATTGGAAAACCAAGAAAGTTTCTTATTAAAGAAAGATCCTTCGATTCATCCTAAATATTTTCTGCTAAAATGATTCAATTGGCTCAAAAATATATCCTTGAAACCATTACCATTTCGAGAGAGATTGAGTTTGTTAAGAGCATAATTACTGGCGTGAAAAGGCTAAAGCATTTTAGAAAACCAAAAAAAGGAAACCCCAACATTTTACTGCCAAAAAGTTCCAGTTTTTAGAGGCTCAAAAAGGCTTCTCTCAAAGCATTACACATTTTCCCCATCAAAATTGTAATACCCTGAAAGGGGATTATAAAAAAACAGTAGCTAAATAAAATGCCAGCATAATTCTGCTGCAGTCACAATTACACACACCACACCGCACACACACACACACACACACACAGACAGATGCACACAGATGCACACACACCACACGCTGGGAAAGACAAAGAAACATGGCCAGAAACAGAATGGAAACGTGCCAAATTGTTGTTTTTAGTTTTCTTTTTTTGTTGTTGTTGTTGTTGCTGTTGTTGAACACACACACACATATCTTTGAGTGTAATTT